GTATATTTATTTACCTGTACATTCGAGAATGTATTTGCTAATTTTTCCAATATTGATCTCAGAGTTGTGAGACCGGTGATGAAAAAGGGTATATTTATTATTATTATTATTATTATTATTATTAATATATATATATATATATATGAAAGAAAAATACAGAAAAAAACAAAATTCTGAATATGCATTATTAATGTTAAAATAAAGTCGACGTCGGACGTTTCGGTCTATTTAAGACCATCTTCATGGACATTTTCATTTAAACATAATTAACATTAAAACTTATAACAATTTAACACAAAAGACGATGGACATGAAAGCCCAACTAATTCAGACAGATAACTGAAATTTTATACATATCAGCGTTCTGTTTAAATATGATCACGTAGTCGTCTCGTGGGCGATGTTGTTAAGACGTATTCGAAGATGATTTCCAAAAATTAAAATATAGTTTATAAAATATGTTTTTTAGAACTGTTCCATCGTTTTTAAAATCACTTTTGGATTTGCATTGTAACGGGAAAGACTTTCAAGCTTGTTGAAGACATAAGAACCAATTTGATCACTACGTATTCCAACATCAACGGAAGAGATTTCTTTAATTGTTTATAAAAATTTTAATTATGTTAATGAAAATGTCCATGAAGATGGTCTTAAATAGACCGAAACGTCCGACGTCGACTTTATTTTAACATTAATAATGCATATTCAGAATTTTGTTTTTTTTCTGTATTTTTCTTTCATACTGTCGGATTTATATCCATATATTTGCTTACATATATATATATATATATATATATATATATATATATATATCAAAGAAAGACCCAAAATTTTAAAATCCATTATGAAACTACGAGAGAAAGCATATTGAAGTCTGTATAAACTAATTAATATTCGCGCGTCATATTTAAATCGCATGCAAAAATTAAACTACGAATAAATATTTGATAAAAAGTTTTCCGATAACCGTTACATATGACGTCAGTTTGAAATGATTCCAATTACTGCGATCTGAAAACGTCACTGGATTTAATCAGAAAATATTGTCTGTCAACATCAAATTTTTGATAATAACTTAGACAGTAGAAACTACTTTAAGAAAACATTTAACAATATTTTTTTAGATATAATTAATATGAAATAATTTCGGATTAAAAGAAAAATAATTTCTGAAAAAATGGCGTCACTTTTTGATTAGTGGGGATTCTCCAGTATAATAGTCCTGTGCAAGACGAGGCGACTATTGTATGTATACAAATCTGCGCGTATATATGGGTGTGTCAGTCTCTTTTGTGTATGAGAGTGTGTATGAAATTATTTATGTATGAGACTGTCTGTGGGCATATGAATGCGACATGAAGTGTCACCATATATATATATATATATATATATATATATATATAGCTAGCTAGCTGTCTCAGTCTATTCATATCTACCTGTCTCAGTCTTTTCATATCTATCTATCTATCTATCTATCTATCTATCTATCTATCTATCTATCTATCTATCTATCTATCTATCTATGTCCCCGTATTACTCCGTGTTCTTAGTATTGGTATAATCGTGAGAGTGTATGGCTCTGTCTTGAGGTGAGTGTTTGAACTCTATATTCAATTTTCCCTTTGGGTGATTGCTTCTCCTCGGCTCTATCATGGTCTGTAAAGACCAAACTCAGTATCGACCGACATAACGGAACTGAATCACTCGTCGTTCTTACAACTCTAAGTATCGGAGCAAATGCCACAAAGCAGTCGCCAGCGAACTTCGACAGCTGCAGATCAATATCTTTCCGTTAACAGCGTGTAAGCGATCGATCACGCAGGCTCATAGTTTGATTGAGGCCACTAAATCGATATAAGTCCACTAATAAAGAAAAACGTATTTAAAATGGCAAACAGTAAAATAAAATCGCTAAGCACCATCTCATTTTTTAACACGTTATCAAATGATGCTTGTTTGTTTTGAAAGTTAATAAGAAATGTGATTTGAATTAATTCTAACTCTATTTATTTCTCGCTTTTAGACCATTGAAATTTAAACATACGTATATTTGATACATGATGGAGTACTCGGCGTGGTGCAATTATTAGCAACTTTCTTGCTAGATCAATTACGACTGAGTATTGAGTACAATTCTTACTGGGTGCTCCATGCTTACTCGTTCCACAAGTAAACTAAGCTTACTAAATCGCTGCATCTGACATTGTTGTAAAACTATGTCTTAGATTTATCCCTCTTACGCAAAGAAGCTAGTCGTTTCAAATGGCCTAATATGATTTAAATTTTCTCTACGACTGACATGAAATTTAGATGAGCGGCGTCAATTTCATGAGTAAACATACAAATACTTAATAAATGTTATACATCCACAGTAAAAAAAAAAAAAAAAAAAGAAAAGGCTAGCTTCTTTTTGCAAGAGTGATAAATCTAATGCTTTTTGTATTTGATCCTAGAATTTGGAAATCATTTTGAATTCCACTTGGAAGTGTGACAGATAGTAACCTAAATTTCTGCAATTATTTGGCTTTAGCAATGTGTCATCGTCCTTAGAATGTACAGAAACTTCTGAAGGTCTTGTATTTCGCAGGTTAAAATTGGTAGAAAATAGTTATTATATATGTGCAATCTGACTAAATTCTGTTTCAACATTGAGATTTTTATTAAAAACAAAACTATTTTTATTTATTTCAAATTCATCGGAGTTTCCATGTTTTGTTGTTTCATAAGCTAGCCTTAACTCCACCTTAATACCTCATCATTTAAATGTATTACTCGTTAAATATTCCACCCTAATTATGCTCTACATTTCTTATATAACAATCTTTTAATACTCCAATAAACTACGATTAATACTCCGCCATCTTAATACACTACTTTTAATACTCCGACGTCTTAATCTGTCACCCTTTTAATATAACGTTATTTTAATATTCCACTGAATTTATGTCCCATCCTTCTTATATTCCACACTTGCCTTTTTCCCCTTTAATATACAACACTATTAAAACTCCATCCTTTCAATTTTCAACAGATTTAATACAACACTTTTAAAAGACCCAACCCTTTTAATAGACAATATTTTAATACACAATCTACTTAATAATATTTCTTTCTAATGTTTTTTTTTTTCTGTAGGAGGTCCTGGCCCACTGCAAATATCTTTTCTTTATTATATATAAATAACCATGCTTCTTGAGAAAGATAAATGAGTAGTTACGCTTTGTATTCTCCACAGTTGGAAATTTTTCTTTTTTTAGACTGGTTGTCAATAAAAACTACAATGCCCAGGCTACTTTGTTATTTAACCCATTGCTGGAGGGAAGAGAGGGATTCATGTCTTCCAAAAGCGAATGTAAAAAGATTAATTGATTAATTACGTGGGCATGTGAAGCAACCACAGATGCAGGTAGAATGTACGCAACTACCTCGGCCACATATTTATCGAAATCCTCTGTTTTTTTTTCTCCCAGGTTTTCGCTTCAGTATTTCTTTCTTTTTCTTATTCTTTTTTACCTTCGAAATTTCCTTCTGTCTACTTCAGTTCTTCTGCCTCTTGCTACTTGTCACTTGTAGAACTTTTCTTAGCGCCACTTCTACTTCCTTTAACTGCCGCCTTATTAATGTTTCTGTTGAGCAAAAGCTGAACAAGCAAAATGGCGCTCAAAATCTGAAGGAGTCCACATTAATTTGTCGTTTATTGCCGCTGATTTTTTTTCTGATTTTTCCTTTGATGCGCCGCGACGTAAAAAAAGGAGGGTAGGAAGTGAACTCATTCACCATGACGTGTTTTTATGAAGGCATTTACATCATTATGAACGTCGAAAACTTTTTTCCACCTACGTTCGCTCGCAGACATAGAGATACATGTACGTAAGCGCACGTGCTCACAAATACATAGAAAATATTCATATAAAACTGCATACGTATTAAATACTCTCATGGTAAAATATATTTGTCATGACAATATGTATGTATAGCAACTTTAACATTTTGACACATAATATATTTAGGCAGCAATCCTTCGTTTAAACATGTTCAATTAAATAGAACGAATTGAAGATGTCGGTTAACGTTTTTGATATGAAACAAGACGTTTGATATCAGAGGAAAGCTTGTTAGGTTCCGAATACTTTCTACGGTCGTCGATCATTTTCAAGAGAAGAAGGCAGGAAATCAAATTGCTGTTGAATCTCCCGAACTTTGAAATGAACGCCGGTTAACTGCTATTTTAATGTTACAATGAAAAGAAATTTTAACATGTGCTAATTTAGATTGAAACAAATTTTATTAATAGTTGGTAGCTTTTTTTTATTGATTGATTGATGATTGAACTGTTGCTTTGTAAGACTTATCAACCACTTATGGATTATTTAAGCCGAAACATATTTTAGATTCTAAGAAAATTTTAATAATTTCCCCCCAATCAAAATGATAGTGTTATTAGGGCGCATGGTGAGAGTCAATGAGAAAACTTTAGTGAGTACATGTGAGGAGAAGGACAATAAAAGAATAGGTTCCAGGAAAATCGAATATGGCGATTGACGTTGCATTTAATTTTTTTAAGATTGTAGGTGACAGGGAGGCAAGAAACCGGAAAGGCGTTCCAAAGACGAGAAGTGCGAGAAAATAAATTATTAGAATACGGTTTCAACTAGCTGGTTCAATAGTAAAATAGTGAAATGCAGAAGCACGCCTAAACTCATGAGGTCAAGACAGAAAGGAGAGAATCTCATCAGAAAAATTGCCATGAAAATATTTGTAGAAAAGACAGAGAGAAACCACGTTACATGGGTGAGAAAGTGACTGAAGTCGAGATGCTAGGGATGTAAGAATGAACTTAAGAATGCTAAGTGGTAGAATTGAACGTAACAGAGGCAGTAGGAATTACCGGAATTAAATGAGAATATAGGAATGAACGTAAGAAAGCGAGAAGGTAAAAATGAATGAAAAACATGCGTAGAGTTAGGGATAGATTTAAGAAGCGAGGAGTTAAAAACAAACTACAGAAATCTAGGTGTCAGGAATGAACGAAAGAAAAGGATGAGATATGAATTAACGTAAGAAGAAGAGGAGATAAGAATGAATGAAAGAAAACTAGGAAGTAGGAATGTCCGAAAGAAATGTATGAGGTAGGAATGAACAAAAGAAAGCAAAGAGATAGGAATAAACGTAAGAAAGCGATGAGTTAGAAAGTGCAAGGCCGAAGGAATGACAAAAAGAAATCGATGTTGTAGGAATGAACGAAAGAAAGCTAGGAAGTCGTGATGAACGCACAAATGCAAGAAGGTAGGGATACACATAATAAAGCGAGGAGCTAAGATTTAATGAAAGAAATCTAGAAATGGCCTAAAGAATTAGAGGAGATACGAATGACTGAAAGAATGCTAGGAAGTAGGAATGAACGAAAGAAAGCAAGGAGTTAGGATTAACCGAATGTAAGCGAGGAGGAGGGAATGAACGTAAGAAAGCGAGGATTTAGGAATGACCGAAAGATTGCGAGGAGAAAAGAGCGAACGTAAGAAAACAAGAATAAAGGAATGCACGTAAGAAAGCGAGGAGGTAAGAATGAACTAAAGAAAGATAGTAGATAGTAATGACCGAAAGCAAGGAAAGAGATAAGAATAAGAGTTAGTAATGAACCATAAGATAGCGATGTGGTAGGAATGAACGTAAAAGAGCGAGGAGATAGGAATGAACGAAAGAAAACCATGAAGTAGTGATGAGCGAAAAAATGCGAGGAGTTAGGAATGTACCTAAGAAGTCGAGGAGATAGGAATGAACGAAAGAAATCTAGGAGGTAGGAATGACTGAATGAAAACAAGGAAATAATAATGGCCGAAAGAAAATTTGGAAGTGGAAACGAACGTAAGAAATCAAGGAGGTAGAAAATGAACGAAAGAAATCGAAGCAGTATGAATGGCCGAAAGAAATCCAGGAGAGAGTAATGAACATAAGAAATCGAGGAGCTAGGAATGAAAGAAAGACATCGTGAAGAGAGGAATCAACGTAAGTGTGAGAGGAGGTATGACTGAACGCATGCAAGGAAGGAGGTATGAATATCTGAAAGAAGGCGAGGAGATAGGAATGAAGTTAAGAAAGCGAGATAGTAGGAATGAATGTAAGAAAGCGAAGAGATAGAAATGACCGAAAGTAACCGAGGAGATAGGAATGAAAGTGGGAAAGCGAGGAGATAGGAGATAGATATGAAATCAAATAGGTAGGAATTACGGAAAGAGAGGATATAGGAATGAACGTAAGAAAGCTCGGGGGTAGGAAATAACTATAAAAAGCGAAGTGATTGGAATGAGCGTAAGAAAACGAGTATGTAAGAATGACCTAAAGAAAGATTGGAGGTATGAATAAACGAAAATAAAGCGACCTGGAATGAAAGCGATGTGGTAGGAATGAACGCAAGAAAGCGAGGTGCTAGGAATGAACGATAGAAAGTGAGGTCGTAAGAAAGAACGAAAGGAAGTGGGGTGGTAAGAAAAAACGAAAGATAATGAGGAAGAATCAAAGAAAGAAAGATAATGAGAAAGAATGAAAGAAACCTTTGTAGTAGTAATGAAATGAATGACGACTGAAATAAATCGAAATAAAATAACTGATTAGTTTTCTACTTGTTATCCACTCTTTACGTTTTATTTAAAGCCAGAAAATATTATTATATTGTAAGATTTTCTTTTCGATATCAATGATTTAGTGATACAAATCTTAATAATTAACCCATAGCTGAGGGGAGAAAAGAACTTCGCCGAAAAACATTAAACGAGAGACACTAACAAAGATATATTTTTGAAGAACTTGCATTTTGGGATTGCAAGTGTCGGTTTTTGTAGATCTTTTTTTCCTTCCTTTAACAATTCTTTAAGAAATCGATTTATTTTTATATCTATCCCGTGTTTGTCTGGATAGGGTAGTGTCTAGGACGACGAAGACATACGAAGATTGTTTTTTGTTTTTTATCATATACATCAGTCGTTCTGACCTGATAACGAGTGAAAAACATAGTAAGAATCGCATAAATATCCAAATATTTCTTATAATTTTCATTCTTATTTTTGTTGTTCGTTTTTGCGTTACTGTTAGAACCCCATTGTTGCATGAAAGGATTGCATGTATTTCACTTATTATTCAGACTGACATGATAATCTTTGTTGTTTTGATCACAATATTTAGCTTGACAGAAACTTGGCCGATCGTTCGGATTAAAATAGAAAGTACAAAATGTCTCTCTAAAGAAGTTTGAAGAATATATTAAACGGAATGTTGTGATACAAAGCTAAGTTTGAACTGATTCAGTTATTCTTATCAAATCGTGAAAGTTCTCATAAACGGTCACTTTTCAAAACCTTTCGTACTAATTTAGACGTCCCCCAGGGGGGGGGGGTCTATCCATGCCCCTGCTCTTCTTAATTTTCATGAGCTTCATCAGCTCTCAATTTGGTATCTATGCTTATGACAACTATTTAATTCGGTTTCGATATTAAATCTCATCAGTTCGATAAGGCCAAATTGGCGGTTGATCTAAAAAATAACATAAAGTCAGTTGTGAACAGGAGTAAATGAAGGCTTGTTAATTTTAACGCCTCCAAAACAAAACTGCTCTGTTGCTCACATCCAAGAGAGTGACTCATTGTGCCTTTAATAATAATAATTTGATCCATTAGGGCAAATTGGTGGCTGAGCTAAAAAATAACATGAAGTCAGTTGTGAACAGGGGTAAAGGAAGGCTTGTTAATTTTAACGCCTCTGTTGCTCACAACCAAGAGAGTGACTCATTGTGCTTTTTCTTGCTGACATTCTCTGCTAAGTTGAAGTGGAAAGACTATTGAATCCATTGCTAGATTTGCTGCTAAGAAACTTGGTTCACTGTGTCGTGCTGAATCTATATTACATATCTATACCTCTACTATTTTCCCATGCTTAGAATATTGTTGTTACATATGCTCCGAAGCTCATGAAAATAATGAGAGATTCTTGATAAAATCTAAATACAAATCAGTAATCATTGGTGTTGACCTGGCGTCCACTTCAGTCACTTTTATACCACCTTAAAATTGCTTTTTTAATAAACACTTTCTAAACAATATGCATTGAGTATTCGCGAAAGGGCTTTCGATAAAAATATCTAAATGTGGAAATGTGCTTTCCTTAAAAAGGAAAATGAAGCCTTGATGAACTGTGACGCTGTTTGTAGCTAATCAGACACACACACACACATATATATATATATATATATATATATATATATATATATATATATATATATATATATATGCATATAAACATTATTTATATTCACATACTTATTCCATTTTAATTCTACACAAGTCTAATTATAAAAAGCCCTAAAAGGATGATGACAGTAGCGCTAGTGCAATTGAAATTCAAATACGTCTCTGAGTGTGTGTGCGTACGTGCGTGTGTTCGTGCACGTGCTTTGCTTGCCTTTGTCAGACTGGGGCAAACAGATGCTAACGTAATTCAGAAGCTAAAACTAAAAGGTCGTTAGAAAAGAAATGGCTTGTTTTCTCAGATGTTCTTTCATCATCATCTAACGCGTAGTCGTCATTCGCAAAAGGCTTAACAGGTCATTGAAGACTCCTGAACTACTTGCTTGATTTCGACGGTTTAAATAGAAAAGAGAGGCGTTTGTCTCTTTGACTGCGCATGTGGAACTGCGAACCAGTTGACAAAAACAGAATAAGCGAAACGGTCGACAGGAAAACCGAAAAGCATCGAGTATTAAAAAAGAAATGAAGTGTTTTGCGAGAGACTGTGAAAATGAAAGCAAGAAAGCAGATGCTAATAGTGGGTAGGAGGGATAGAGAAAGAGAGAGAGAGAGAGAGATTGTATGCAACGAAAAGTAGAAAGAGTAAAAAAGAAGAAAAGTTGATTGAATGTCAGAAACGAAAGAAAACGAAGGAATTTGACAAATATAAAAAAGAGAACAAGAAAAAATGAAGAAAATCAAAAGAAAGAGCAAAAGAAGGAAAGAATCGCTTTCAAGGTGAAACAGTGGATAAGAAACAGGATGCACATGAAATTATACGGCTAGTGACAGAAAAAGAAAAGGAAACTATATAGATTAAAGTGTGTGTGTGTGTGTGTGTGTGTGTGTGTGTGTGTGTGTGTGTGTGTGTGTGAAGAGAATGACAGAAACAAATGACGAAGACGACACCAATTGTGCAGACAGATGCGATAATCATCATAGGTTTTGCGTCTGCTTATTTACGCCTCAAGTCAAACATCAGTAAAATAACAAACAAAACAAACAGTTCTTTCGAATTACTGATTGGATCAGATATGCCCAACCGTCGCATCCTTCACACTGGGGCTCTTTGCAAAATGTTATGGTTTAATTATCCCAAGTTTTAGAATCTAAAAATGAAAATTAATTAATAAAAATGCTAACAATCATACCAAATGTAAAAATAATATTGCAAGGTGAGAAAGCGTCCTCACCAGTTTATACCGTTTCCTTTTCCGGATTTTTTGAAAATGGAAAAATAGACCACAAGGTAAGTGATTTAATTTCAGAATACTTAAACTTATGCGATAACAATTTGCACCAAAAGTTCAGTGTTTCCGCTGAAGTCAGCGAGTGTTGATGTCTCGTCTTTTTTGAATAACAGATTTAAACTTTTACGCAAGGTCTTTTTGAAACAAGTAATTGCCTTGATCCATTCTTTGACGCAGACAGTATCGAATACATTAAATCCATCTTTAAATGCAATGGGATACTTTACTTTGTGTTACAAACGACTTTTCCCCAGGTTAAAGATATTTCAGATTTCGATAGCAGAGGTAATCACGTAGGATAGATCTGAACTCAAATGTCCTAAACACACGAAACCTTTTTATATCAAATCTCAGGGCTATTAATGCGCTGGCGATAAAGCAAATACTGATTGAAAAGAGAAAAATTCCCATCAGCGTCAAAACCGGAAACTAAAGAAATCGGAAGTAGCGAAAAACGACGACAAAAGTAAAAAAATGTAAAAAAATAAAGATTATTAATGAAAAAGAGAACGAAAGAAGAAAACATGAAAATGAGAAAGTAATAGCGAAGAAAGAGAAAAGAATAGACGTATGTTCTGAAGAAAAACATGAGAAAAAACGTGTGCAAAAAGTAAAGAAGGAGTAAACAGTAAGGAAAACAAAGAGAAAACGATGTAGGAAGTAAAAAGACGGAAGAAAGTTACAAAAGAGGGGGACGAATGAAAGAAAGAAATTAAATGTAGAAAAGAAATACTAAAAAAAGAGGAAAGAAATAAAGAAAGAAAATAAGATGAATTAAAGAAAAGAATGAAGAAAATATCAATGCAAATCAAAGAAAAGAATGAATGGACGAATTTGGGAAAACGATTAATGACTCTTCCTGTTACTCAATTGCGTATCTTTATTTCTCTCTCTTTCTGTTCATTATCACGTTCCCTCTTTGACGTTTTATTCGTCATTGTATTCATTCTCCATATTGTTACCTCATTTTTCTTTGATTGCTGTAAGTAGAAACACCTTTAAAAGAGAAATAATAACCTAAACATGATCCTGAACATGAACGGATGGATTGGGATATTAGTTCAAATAATGTCGTCTAATGACAAAGACTTATCTTAGATGTTTAAGTAAATATGAGCAAGAAAGAAAGAAAGAAAGAATAAAAATATGTCTGTGTAATAAAATATGAATAAGGTTTCTTTTTCTTCCGGTGATACAACATTTTTATTCGAAATACCCCAAGCAAGACAATAAAGCCTCTAAGACACAAGAGGTCACTGTGTGTGAAAGAATTAGAAAACGAAAGCATTACTGAGCAGCGAAAACATTAGATGAGTACTCAGGAAGACAGTAGATAACGAATGACACTGCACTTTACTTTTTTTAAGATCAAATATGGCTGAAAAGCAAGAAGCTGGAGGAGATTTTCACGAGAGAGAAGCGCGAGAAACTAAAATGTTATCATAAAACTTACGGTTACCTTTAACAAATTCAACTGTAAATTGATGAGACCTTATTTCTAATCTAGAGGTGCGTTTAAATTTCTAGGCACCATAGAGTAAATCTTATCAGAATAATTAACATGACTTATCCAAACAAATAACTGATATTATAAAACTTTCAGTTATTTGTTTGGATAAGTCTTGTTCTTATGTACATCGTCTTTGTCATGTTGTATTGATAATGCTATATTTATGAATATGTCCTGAAGATGGTTTATTAGACCGAAACGTCAGACGTTGACATATTAACATTAAAACAGCATAATTGTATATAAGGATTTTTGTTTTGTTTTTTCCGTATATATTTTTCTTCATATATATATATATATATATATATATATATATATATATATATATATATATATATAATAAAAAAATACAGACGATTCAGAAAAATAGAAAGGGAAAAAATATTATATTAAAAGAGGAAGAAAAAATCCATTTATTAAAAAACTTCGGTTTGAAGAGATGAATATTTGTATATATTCATGAAATAAATTATAACCGAATGGATTCTTAAGGATTCTCTGTACTTATGATTATTATCTTGAACTGTTTATTACATTGAACTCTCTTTAGACTCATGTCCTCCTTAGAATTATTAACGGATATATATATATATATATATACATATACATATATATATATATATATATATATATATATATATATATATATATATAATGCTTAATCATCGGTACGTGTTTAGACAATGTAAAGATTTGTGTTTGATCTGTTTTTAGTTATTAAAATTATGGCAATAAAATATTTATAACCGATTTTGTAAGCCAGATATACGTACTCTTTGAGCTCTGATACATACGAATTTGATACACACGCATTTGGATCCTCCGTTACCCACCTATTTGGGAACACAGACTTTTCTTTTTTATGTGTAGCACGGCCATTTTTGTCATTTGTAGCTCTTCGAAATGTTTCTATTTTTATTATCGTTCCCCCTCCCCTTTTTATACCCTTCATTTTAATAAATGTTTCTGGCTGGTTCACTCTGTCCCTTTCGCTTTCAACATAACTTGTGTATGACAAACTCTTTAAGCCCGTTTTTTACATTATATGTCTAATAAATTTCAACTTTTTTTTCTGATTCTATGCATAAGAGTTGTTTTTGGTTTCCATTTTCCTTAAAACTTCGTCCTTGCTCCGTCCATGGTATTCTTTGTTGCCTCAAGTCTACTTTTCATCTGTGAGGAAATTGCGCATCATTTATTTCTAAACCGAAGAGAAAACAAAATAATATCTCAATAATCTTCTGTAATTTTGATCGACAAGAGATGATGATTTCTTGCATTATTTACATTACTCTGTTATCCTCATCATTGCCATATTCACAAAGCTAGGCCACACAAAAAATTCCTGAGCCGACCAAGCATAGAAATGAATACGATATGGAACCAATAATAAGGAATACTAGAGAAAAGCAATGACCACCAACAAAAGAATTGCAATATAAGCTGTGGTAAAAAATGAAATAATAACAAAAGTTGCGCACTGGTTCTGTTCGAAATTCCAAATACCATCGGCGGCATCGTCGGGAATAAGGTGATGAGTATAACAGTCCGAATAATGCAAGTAATCATCATGCCTCATCTCAGAGATATAGGCAGATAAGTGATGATGAGGAGCACATTAGAAAATAACTCGTTTTCTCTTTTGCTGCTTTGCAGTGTTAAAACGTGTCATGATTGGTTCAATGTTGGTAAAAGATGATTAACTGTTTCGATATAAGCAACATTCGGTATTCATTGATCGAAGTTAGTGTTAAGCCAAGTTGAAATTTATAAAACTTCTTAAAACAGTTTTTCATGAAAATCGGATTCTCAAGTTCAATATTATGTTATTTCCTTCCTAATCTTTGGTTTAAGGTAATGTGGGAAGTCACCATCTTGATTGTATTATTATCTTCCTTTCTAATTACATGTGACACCCATTTTTTTGTTTTTTTTTTGCTGTTGTTCATATTTTTATTTGGCTAAGCAAATTCTAGAGATGAAACCTGTTAAAGGTCTTGTTGCGTGTTTCTGCTTCTAGTTCAACTTAGAGCACTAGCAGCCAAACATTTGATACGTAAATGACGAGCTGTCATCCTTTGTAGATGTAAAAAAAGTGGAATAAATTTCAACTCAGACATATTTGCATTGACATATATATGTCAAATAAATTATAAATTACACAAAAACAATTCTCTGAGGCAATCATATGAACATGTGAGTTTTCACTAATTTTCATGTGGTAAATTAAAATTTCTGAATAGTTTTGCTCTATCATCTCTAGTTTCATTTTATTCTACATATCACGTTTTTATTATACTGCATATAAAGTCAAAATATAATGTGTTTATTTTCTCTATTACAAAGTCATATTATAAAAAGCAGCATAGATACAAGATAGGAATTAAATTACTTGGATAATAACATACATACATATCATGATAAAGCAGTCAGAAGTGTGTTTTTGGTCGATCCCATATATTTTGCATCCAGTATGTTGCACGGGAGCATCCAGTAGGAGTCACCCATCATGCTAGGGTTCCACTTGCCTTGGTAGTTTCTTTCCATCTTTGTAATATCTTGGTGGAACATTTCTCTATGCTCATCACTCACTGCTCTGAGTTTTGGAGGGAAGATGCCAAATGAGAGAGTGAAGAAAGTGAATTTTGAGTGACATTCGCCATCTTATATCCTCATAAGCCTATCATAACTTCACGATACACTTTTGATAATCTGGTACCTGTCTATTACCAAGAAATCCACGACAGACTGACTTAAATTCTTCTCATGCTTTCAGGCAATTTATGATAATAAAGGCCTTGTTTCGTGCGCTGAATCTGGTGATCCTTACATTTACAGTGACCAGGTTCCAATGCTTAAGCTGGGATGCCAGGATCTCTAACTTCTGCTTGGATAGATGAGGCAATATCTTTCAGGTCTTTTTTGGGTGATCCAGTGAGGCTCACTGCTAATTGCTGCTGAATAAACAGGGACATTGTCTTTAGAAGAGACTAACTTGGCAAAATTTTCCTCAGAAGACAATTGTTCATATGATGAAGGAATATGGTATTTATGTGCTGGGGCTGAAGGGACAAGGAACAATCTCACAGCTAAAGAAAACTTGGAATATTTGATTTTTTAAAGAAGTATTGAAACCAGTTGTATATGTTAGACAAAAATAGCCTTTGTCTGCATGGCTTCGTTGCTCTATCCAAACCATCGGGACGGCAAAGTTGAAGGCTTCTTTCTTGTCATGAAATTATGCAATCAGTACATTTTAACAGGATGTGTGGGGCCCAGGATTTTTCCTGATCTCCAATTATCAGGGGCGAGGAGGAAGGGTAATTTCCGGTTCTGTGCAATTGTCGGGAAATTCTTCCTACACGCGTAACAGAATGATTTTACCTTGTTGCTGCATCGTCGGTGCTTTGAAGTGACTGAAGCAATTGCAGAGATATATATCCTAGATCACAAAAATATGGAAAACAACATAAACATTGATCATATATATGTTTACGTCCATGTACATCGGGCATTCGAATTTGAAGAGGATTTCATTTCACCGCAATTAAACTTAGCCCGCCCGGCCGAGCATAGGCTGCCAAAAGCATTATTCACTTTTTTAAAGAATACAATTCATAAAATTAAAAAACAACAACACAAGGTCCTAAATAAGACACATAAGGCGGCCTTGAATGCAAGTACATGTACACATTTTACGTATATGTATACATGTATATCTCAAAAACTAGGGGTGATGAGTGAAAACTGATTTCATATGAGATCAGTACCCCAAAAATGTTATATCACCTATTTTTATGCATACTTATACTTCTTTGTAAACCGGAGTTACTAGCAAAAGAAAAAAATATAGTATTGTGTACACAGCTGAAAAATACTGGAAAATTTATAGCGTTAGAGGTATTGTGTGTCACTGTGTGTATGATTTAAGCCATTGGGTTTTTGTGTTTTTCTACATACCGCATTCTAGAATGAAAAGCGGAAGATTATTTTCTAGCTATTTTAGTCTTCAAATAGCGTCAACAAGCGAGCCTCTTGTCAAACTAAGTGGGATTAATCTCTACAGTACTAGCTCCCAGATCGATATGCAAAAAATGTTCGAATTTGTTATGTTCATTGTAGCCGGACAGGCAAGATTTGAATGATATTGTTCAGATGTGAGTGACTTGACGACAAAAGGGTTCTGTTTGAAGTCCTGTGTTATAACTGTGCTGTTGAACTTTCTTGTGTCATAATGTAGCACATTCTGAAAAATATAAGAGAGAGAGAGAGAAAGAGAGAGAGGGGGAGAAGAGAGAGGGGGAGAAGAGAGAGGCAGAAGAAAGAGAAATAGAAAGAGTTGTAGCTGCTACAACGTTCTTTTTTTTTCTTCCAATAAATCCACTTTAATTTTGTTTGGGTCCCATTTTGCGGCGCATTTTGTGGCTCCGGTAACATTAATCGACTATCGTTTGATTAAATCACATCAACTATTTCTTTTAAGTGTGAGAGGGAATGTGAAGTGGGTTTTTTCTTGTACTGGAAGAGTTGTGACTGGTCATTTGCAGATATATTTCTCTGTGGTTTGCATAATGTTTCTTTGTTGAATTTAACAAAATGTACTGTGTATTTTGAATTTTTGAAGGTAGCAACGCTTTTAGTTGTTGTTGCTTCAAACTATATCAGAAAAAATCGGTATATGTCGTGGTTCTGTTTTTAAATATATAGCATCGACTAATTCAATGTGGAAAGATTTGCGTTTATTTTAGCCTGATTTTAATCCTTTTGTTAACAAGTAAAAAATGATATTACTGAAGTGTTCAGTTTTCAGCGTGTTTGGTATATTTTTTATGTGCATGTGTAACGAAGTTTTTTTTTCTTCGATTTCTTGTAATTTCTCCTTGATTTCTCTTTGAATTTTCTTCAGTTTGTTTTTGATTTCGTTCGTGAGAGACAGAGGACAGTAATACTGGTTGAATTTTGATAAGCAGAATTTTGTCTGCGGTAGAAATTGAAGCAATGGTCCCATTTGCGTTTTTGGTGATAACAGCAGTCGTGAAAGGCGAATGCAAAAAGAGTGCCACTTACTTGTTTGATTTAGGCAAAAGATATAAGTAACAAGCAGATACGTAAAGAAAAATAATGAAGGAAAGTGAGAAGAAAGAAGGAAATATCAAATACAAGAAGATAGAATGCATAGTTCTTAGCAAGAGAATAAGCGAATTGCAAACAAGTGCAGAAATTTAAATATCTGGGAAGTGTTTTAACAGTTGACGTAAAGTGCAACACTGAAATCCGAAGGAGTATTGGAATAGCAAAGGAAGCATTCAAAACCTAAGCAGGGTACTAAGAAATAGAAAAAAAATCGCTAGAAACAAGTAAAAGAGTACTGCACTGCTACGTGATATGTGTCCACATGTATGACAGTGAGTGCTGGACAATCTCCTCAAATATGAAGAAGAGAATTGAAGCCATAGAAATGTGGTTCCATGGACAGAACATGTGAACAACAACAAGGTTTAGTAAAAAGGAAACAAAAAGGAAACTGATACTTAACATCAGAAAGAAACAGTAGAGGTTTCTAGTGTACATAATGAAGGAGGAGGGTTTGGGAAATCTTACACTCACGGGAGACGGATAGAGGGCAAGAGGAACAGATGATAGAAACGCATAACGTATTTAGTGAGCTTTAATAAAGGGATGGTTAAATAGGACTTAGGAGAAATAACAGAAAGACAGAATTTATTAAGAGACAGGACATTATGGAGAGCCTTGATCGCCTACGTCCTGAAGGGACACGAAACATAAGGAAGAAACAGCAGTACTGGCTATCTGTAATTGTTCTCCATCTTTTGAGTTTGTTAAAAGTTTGTTGATTTCGGAGTTCTGTCTTGTAAAGATGTTATTTTGCTGTTTAGTTGCGTTTTTGTGTTGTGCATTTTTCCAATTTGCTTGTTTAAATCACGTCGTTTCTCAATAATTTGTTGCGTGTTTCTGCTTCTAAATAAACTAAATGCAGTGACAACTAAAATTTTCACATGTAAATGATGGGTTATCATCATTTGTAGAGGTAAATCAAAATGAAATAATTTCAAGACGGAAATATTTTCATGTATTTTTATATGACCAATAAATGATTAACAAAAGAGAGGAAATATACTAATGAGTACACAACTAGAAAAAAGTAAATATTCTACCACATTCTAGAATTAAAAACTAGAATTATGTCAAATATTTTATCAGATTGAAACAACGCCACCTAACGGTCGTCTTGGTAGACTGTGGATAGTCTTCACAGCCTAAAAGATATGGTGAATGATTAAGGAATTATTATTAAGTACACAGTGCCACCTGTCGATGTTAGGACATTGATAAAAAAATTTATTTTAAATACTGACTTTCAAGATCATCCAACTCATTTCATCTGTAACATGATTGGGAGAACACACCCTTACTGTCTCACTTTTCTGGAACATTTGGCCTTGTGGCAGATTAAGTTTTGGTTTTCTTTCTTTCATTTTTAACGCTTGAGTTCGGGCTTGTGTATCGCTGGCCAAAGTAATACTTTTGTTAATTGCTGTATACGTGTCATAGTCTAGAAGAAATTTGCACTAGCCTCGAATCCTTCTTTGACTCCTTTTCAATATATGAAAGCGAACAGACCATTTAGAGATTTGAGTGAATAATTTACGTAACCATGGAAACATTTATTAAATTTGTTTTTCTTGTAAACAAAGGAGCAGTAAAATGACGAAGTCTCCTTTCGCCCATATTTTATACCTCGCATATAAAAACCGGATTTGCTCTTTTATTGGTTCGTTCCGTTGCGACCGTATTCCACTAAATTCTTCCATCATAAAGAAAGCTGCATTTCTTTTATTTTTGCGAGACACATTTTGGAACACCTAATACTTATTTCCACACAACAGTCTATTTTCCAAGTGAAATCTCTCTCTCTCTCTCTCTCTCCATATATATATATATATATATATATATATATATATATATATATATATATATATATATATATATATATATATATATATAATATATATATCCCAAAATTGTAAGACTCACTAAATGAGTTTTTAATAAGATTTCATTTATTTTTTTATTCTTTCATTTTAGTCAGTTTCGTTTGCGGACTGACTGTTTATAATATTTGGCATTTGTGATTGGAATGCAGTTTTCGACATTTAACAATGTATGGAATTTAGAAAAATTAATCCTTTTCCAAGAATTGCATTTCCAATTAAGGTAAAAATTTCACCATTGTGTGTATAAATAAGTCAATTAAAGTGTTTAGCATTTCCAAGTGGGCGTATATGAATCAGCTTGAAGAAATGGATTCCCAAAATTGCTGTTGCTGAAATCAAGGTCAAGAAAATTTCCATCTTGACAATACAATAAATTACCCACAATGCGTCACTGAGCTGTATATATAAATCGTGGAAAAAGCACAAAAAACATAGCCTGAATATTGCGCTTAGCATGAAACAGACTGTCGCCTCATCGTGTTGACTTCAATGCACAGTTTTAGATATATATATATATATATATATATATATATATATATATATATGTGTGTGTGTGTGTGTGTGTGTGTGTGTGTGTGTGTGTGTGTGTGTGTGTGAAAAGTTTATATAAATATAAATAAATATATATATGTATAATTATTTATATATTATATGTGCGGTACTTATTAGAAAGCGCTCAATATCAGAGATAGAGCTAACATATTTGGTTGGATAGATGTGAGTTTGCGACCCTGGGTTTCACGCTTTAGCGATCGTCAGACAAACTATTTAAATTTTTTTTAAATTTGGGTTCATCTAGATTGCGTGTATTGGTGTTATTGTGGAAGTGGTGGGGGAACTTTGTCGCTAATAAGACGAATGAGATGGAAGGCATATTTCTCCCTCAACGACCCAAAAAACCAAACAACTGAAAAACCCGAGACATTCAACTTTAATACAAAAAAATGCCCATCAATATG